GTGCGTGCGTGCGTGCGTGCGTGCGTGCGTGCCGTGCGTGCGTGCGTGCGTGGCGTGCGTGCGTGCGTGCGTGCGTGCGTGCGTGCGCGTGCGTGCGTGCGTGGCGTGCGTGCGTGCGTGCGTGCGGCGTGCGTGCGTGCGTGCGTGCGTGCGTGCGTGCGTGCGTGCGTGCGTGCGTGCGTGCGTGCGTGCGTGGCGTGCGTGCGTGCGTGCGTGCGTGGCGTGCGTGCGTGCGTGCGTGCGTGCGTGCGTGCGGGGGTGCGTGCGTGCGTGCGTGCGTGCGTGCGTGCGTGGCGTGCGTGCGTGCGTGCGTGCGTGCGTGCGTGCGTGCGTGCGTGCGTGCGTGCGTGCGTGGCGTGCGTGCGTGCGTGCGTGCGTGGCGGGTGCGTGCGTGCGTGCGTGCGTGCGTGCGTGCGTGCGTGCGTGCGTGCGTGCGTGCGTGCGTGCGTGCGTGCGTGCGTGCGTGCCGTGCGTGCGTGCGTGCGTGCGTGCGTGCGTGCGTGCGTGGCGTGCGTGCGTGCGTGCGGCGTGCGTGCGTGCGTGCGTGCGTGCGTGCGTGGGCGTGCGTGCGTGCGTGCGGTGCGTGCGTGCGTGGCGTGCGTGCGTGCGTGCGTGCGTGCGTGCGTGCGTGCGTGCGTGCGTGGGCGTGCGTGTGTGTGCGTGCGTGCGTGCGTGCGTGCGTGTGTGTGTGTGTGTGTTCTCTTCCTGGTACACCCCCGATATAAGTAATTCTAGATTTTTTTTCCATTCGACGTATCCTTATCTCTCTCTCATTGAATTACGCAGCATGAGAATTTATAAACAATATAAACAAATGGCACCTCCCAGAATCGTCCTCCGTAATTTTTTCTCGGAAGAGACGATATTGCGACGCGTATGAGCGCCGATGTTCAGCAGCTTTGCACCTTTGTTTCCTCCTTCATATATAAGAAGGATTGAAGTGCATCAAATCATCATAGTATGTGATTTGAACGCCCATCGACACGTCGGTTGTAAAAAAGTATAGCGGTGTTCCGTTAGCAAGATTTTTTCGTAATTTCACGTTCAAGATAGAGAACGGTATTGTTTATCGTGTGCAAAAGTCATCCGTAGAAAACTGTGAAGTAGTGCTTTAAAAGTGTGAAAAAGACAGGAAAATGGAAAACATCGAGCAGACCGAACGCGATCTGATAGAGGGATCTCGCCGAATTGCCACTTTGGGCGAGTATTTCGCGTGGCTGCAGCGTTGCGAGGAATTGATCCAAGAGCTCGAAGAACGCAGTCGTGTCAAGCGTCCGCGGCTCTCGATCGAAAATAGACAATCTCTGGTGGCTAAAATCGCGCGACTAGAAGGTGCAAAGACTCGATTGCAGAGACGGTTTATTCCCAGTGGTGGTGATTACAGCGGTGACAATAACGCTGAAAGACTCGTTTGGCGAGAGATCGATACCGCGTTCGACAGCCGTATTCTGACCGGTGCCGTGATTAACGCAAACTATATCGAACCTCGTCAATTTCTCGAGGATGCCGAAGACATCGTGTTCGAGCAAGTGCAAGACGTTCTAAAAAGACACAACAGTGTAAAAGTGAACACTGTGTTTAATGGTGAATTTGGGTGATAAGCGCGCGAATAAAAGTGTGAATACGTGAAACTGTGAACTCTTTCGCACATCGGATTTACGCGAATGGTTCGAGCGCCGCGTTATCGAGCCCACTTTAGCGTCTCTGGAAGAGTTTCAGGAACGCGATAGTGGCTGGGCATTGTCGCGAATACAGAATTTGACTGTTAATGTAAATAAATATAATCCAAAGCGCGCGAGATGCCACATTAAATTGTCGCGGGAGATTATGATGAAAAGAGCGGTGGTTAACGTACAGTCTAAAGACAATGCGTGTTTCGCGTGGGCAGTGGTCGCCGCTTTATAACCCGCAGAAAGGAACGCGGAACAAGAATCATCGTACCTGCCTTACGCGACAGTGCTGAATCTCCGGGACATTGAGTTTCCAGTAACTTTAAATAAAATTAAAAAATTTGAACTCGCGAACAATATCTCGATCAACGTGTACGGCATCGAAAGCGAGAACATTGTTCCACTACGACTGACAGAGCAGAAGCGAGATAAGCATGTAAATCTGCTATACGTGGAAGACGGCAACAACGTAGGATATTTCGCGTGGATAAAAAATTTATCCCGGCTCGTGAGCTCGCAACTGAGCAAACACAAGAATCACAAATATATCTGCGATCGGTATGTATAGGTATATATTAATATAAAATAATTATAATTTATATAACAAAATTTTTGTTCAAAATTTAAAAAAATTTTCTTTTTTACAGATGCCTGCATTATTTTAGTTCAGATGACAAGTTGCAGTCGCATACGGTCGACTGCGGGGAGATGAACGACTGCGCTATCCGGTTGCCGAACGACAAGTGGCTCGAGTTCAACAATTACAACAGGAAAGAGCGGCTTCCATTCGTCGTGTACGCCGACCTAGAATGCATTCTGATCAAAACGGAGGAAGAACAACAACAACAAAAATTGTACCAGCATCATCGGGTATTTAGTGTAGCATATTATATGCATTGTTCGTACGACGAACTTTATCGTATCATTCGCGTCGTAGCGCCGATTGTATAGCGTGGTTCGTCGAAGATCTTAAAAATTTAGCGATTCGCGTTAAGAATATTTTAACGACCAATGTCCCCATGGTTAATTTAACGTCCGAAGAGTGTGAAAAATTTCACAACGCCACTCAATGCCATATATGCGAAAAGCCGTTCGCAAGACGATACACGCGTTCGCGATCATTGTCATCTGACCGGGCGGTACAGAGGTCCCGCGCATTCAAATTGCAATTTAAATTACAAAGAATCTTTTTGTATTCCGATAGTTTTCCACAATTTATCCGGTTATGATTCACACTTTATTATCGAGGAAATAGCCACAGCGTTCGAAGGGAGCGTCGAGTTACTTCCGATAACGAAAAAGAAATATATTTCGTTTACGAAAAATGTCAACCTTAAGGAAGGCGATTGGAAAAATAATGTAAAATTACGCTTCATCGATTCGTACAAATTTCTTACATCGAATCTCGACAAATTGGCATCTTATCTAGACAAACACAAGCTCAAAATTTTAAAATCGGAATTTCAAAATTTATCCGCGGAAAATTTCAGTTTATTAACGCGAAAAGACGTCTTTCCGTACGAATACATCGACTCGGTAGATAGGTTGCGAGGTACGCGTTTACCACCGCGCGAATCGTTTTATAGTTCCTTGACCAGTGAAACTATATCCGAGAGCGATTACGCGCACGCCGAGAACATCTGGACGCGATTCTCCATTCGAACGCTGGGCGAATACAGCGACATGTATCTCAAAATCGACTTCTTGTTATTAGCAGATATTTTCGAAAATTTTCGCGATAGCTGCATAAAAAGTTACGGACTCAACCCCGCGTATTACTATACTTTGCCCGGATACACGTGGGACGCCATGTTAAAGCATACAAAGATCACGTTCGAGTTGCTTACAGATATCGACATGGTCATGTTTATAGAACGCGGTATACGCGGTGGTCTGAGCCAATGTTCCAACAGATACGCGCGCGCTAATAACAAGTATATGCGACAATCGTACGATCCATCGAAACCATCGTCGTATTTGATGTATTTTGACGTTAATAATTTATACGGATGGGCAATGTATCAACCGTTGCCTTACGCCGATTTTCGATGGGTCGACGACGCGTCGAATTTTGACGTATCATCTATAGTGTTAGATTCGCCCACGGGGTATATCCTCGAAGTCGATCTCGAGTACCCGCAACATCTTCACGATACGCACACCGACCTACCGTTTTGTCCGACACGCGACAAGCCGCCCGACAAGCGGCAAGACAAGCTCCTCGCAACGTTATACGATAAGAAGCGTTACGTGATACACTACCGTAACCTACAACAGTGTACGCGTCACGGCCTTCGTATAACAAAAATACATAGAATTTTACAGTTTTCTCAATCTTCATGGCTTCGAAATTACATAGAATTAAATACACGTTTCAGAACACTCGCGAAAAACGATTTCGAGAAAAATTTATATAAATTAATGAACAACGCGGTATTTGGCAAAACGATGGAAAATGTGCGTAATCGGGTCGATGTAAAATTATTAACAAAACTAGCTGCCCGACCCGGCTTCGCACGGGTGATGTTCCTAATGAAAAAAAATGAGACATAATCTTACGTTTAGAAAATTAAAATCCAAAAATTTGATCATACGTAAATACCTATTGTAATGCCTTATAGTGTACAATATTTTTAGTTTTTCCATATGGACAGAAAACAAATAGCGCCGATGGTTTGCCGACTCTCGAGCACGCTACATACAACTACCCGTGCGAAAAACATGGCAATTCAAGGTTTATTCCACACACTTCTAAAGATTGTCCTTGGGATTTATTAATTGACATTGCGAATGCAAGGCGCACCGGAAACTGGACACGCTTAAATTCAAAAGCAAAGTCAGTTGGTATTAGTGGTATTCTTGGAATAAGCACATCCTCGCCTTTGAACTTTCCTATAATTATAGTAGCTTCAATCAAATTTTTCATAATTTTTTTAACAGCGAGTCTTGTTCCATTGCACAATTTCAGCTGATTCAAATTTCGTAACATGATTATCACGGATCCAACCTTGAGCTGTAAATTGTGTGGCGGTAATCCTGGTAAATCCACTGAATTTAGAAACTCAGTTGGATAATTGACGACTTCATTTGGATCGGTAATGGAATCGATCGACTTAAATGAATGTATTTGTCCATTAATTTGACTCTGAATTTTTGTATTTAAGTCACCTACGTCCTTATTTTTCGCCGCTAAAATGGCTCGTTTGCGCAACCAAGCATGGTTTTTGTAATTTGCATCAATATTTGGAAACACTTTCGAAATTAATTCTTCTTTTGACGTTGTGAATTGACAAAAATTTGGTGGAAACGAAATGAGGCCGAGTAGAAGAGTCAACATTCGAAATGAGACGAGAGTAGAAGAGTCAACATTCTCCCATTGCCAATGTCTAATAATCCCTTTGAGAAAACTTCTGCTGATATGTCATTTTGCAACGCCACTCGCATGTTCGTTGTTAACTTGAGATTTTTCACATATCTCCATAAAATTGATGCCTTTAAGCATGCATTTATTTCATCAGCAGCTGTTGATCTAGGAATGACTGGCAGCGTTTGGCGAAAATCTCCAGCCAGTAGAATCATCGCGCCTCCGAAAAGGATCTGATTGCTGCGCAAATCTCTTAATGTTCGATCTAGTGCCTCCAATGCTCGTTTGTGCGCCATCGTACACTCATCCCAAATTATTATTTTACAATTTTGTAGCACTTTCGCCATTGCTGATGTTTTGGTTATATTACATGTCGGTTCCTCTATAGTTTGCAAATTCAATGGCAGTTTGAGCGCAGAATGAGCGGTACGTCCGCCTTCTAACAATGTAGCAGCGATCCCAGATGATGCTACTGCCAGCGCTATTTGACCTTGTGCTCGAATCGTATCTAAAATTAATGAAATTAAAAATGTTTTACCAGTTCCGCCGGGTGCATCGATGAAAAATATTCCTCCATTGCCGTCATTTACAGCTTTAATTATCGTATCGTAAGCTGTTTTTTGCTGCTGATTTAAAAGTGGCACCTTATTTTGTACGGATTGACTCAAAGCATTTGTATCGTATTGCCGTTCTCGTTCGAATTCACGGTTGAATGCATCGTGCATGGGACGATTAGGCGCAGGCATACCTAATTCGTTCAACATCTTGCCGGACATCATCACGCACAAATCCTCCAAACATATCAAAACCTCATTGTATATCTCTGAGCAAATTTCAAGTTCTGGATTTGCCGTTATTGAACGTACTCGATGCAAAATATCTTCAGCCATATTGTCTTTGTATTTGTTCCACAAATTATATGAGCTCGATGGAAAGCACGTTGAAATTATGATGGCAAATAATGATCGAATTTGTTGCGAAGTAAACGAAATAACAGCATCAGTAAGTGTGTGATCCCAATGAACATCATCCTCTAGTAAATGTAAACGTTGACAGGCTTCTCTATATGTTGCGCACAATTCACCATCGACAGTTCGTAGAAATTGAAATGAATTTGGTCCACGAACATTAACTAATAACAAACGCAAGTAAAAATATTCGTCATTGCGCGGGTGAACTGTGTAAATGCGCCCAATGCATCGGTTGAATATATATTCACGTATCCCGGGACAGGCTGTCCTTGTTTCCGACGTTGGAATTTTTTAGATGATGCATTCCATGTAAAATATTTTGGCATTTCCGAGTAAAGCAATGTTCTTGCAAATGGATCGCTTGCGCATGTCTCGAAGAAGCTTGTCAGCGTTGTCGCTGATGGTCGTTCTGCTCTTTGCGCTGCGTTTTCTGCCGTGAAATAAACTCGTTGTCCATTCTCCAGGTGAACAGCTAAATGAACTACAGTGGGATGACGTTCGTGTATGGGAAATGAAAAGATTCTCCAAACCGCCTCATTGCTACTAACATATCTTCCCATCTGATATGTTGAAATTTCATCGTTATTATTTGGACCTGCAATACCAAATACAGCCATGTCGTTTCCTTTCGTGACGTACTTGCAAACATATTTGATGGACTTGACCGAATTGCAGTACTCAACATTACAATGCGCTTTAAATGTTTTGGAAAGCAGCGGCGAATACGGAACAATCCAACAGTTGTTGACTACGACATCCTTATTTTTGACTTGCAATGTTCTTGTTCTGCCGTTGTCTTCTATAGAACGACGACGATACAGGGGGTAGCCATCATTCCCTGTAATTGTATCAGCCAACAAAGCACGGGGATAACGCTTCGAGCATTTGTTGTCGATCATGCACGGTGATTCACGATTGTGTTCGCCACACGGTCCATGAATCATGTTCTTCTTAACTACTTCATACAATTCTGGATCTACTTCGGGATCAGGAATTTCTGCGCAAATGATCGAATCAATTTCATCCGGTCTTATTTTTTCGACCATCCACAGGAGAATATGCGCATGAGGCAGTCCTCTTTTCTGCCACTCTACAGAATACATCCAACATCGTACGTCTCCGAAGATATGATATTTTACAATGAAGTCCATGAGCGCTTTGAGTTTTTGCTTGAACACTCGAGCGGTTATGTCGTGACGATCGCTGGATGATTGACCGGGTAATAACAGATTAGTGATTTCGATCCATTTTGGGTTGCATGTAAAAGTAATAAATAAATCTGGTCTACCGTATTGGCGCACGTAGGTCATAGCATCTTGCGCGTATTCGTGCATGTGTCTCGGGCTTCCCATATACGTTGCTGGTAAAATAATAAGTTGGCCGACATTATTTCCATTTTTATCTGCGTTCATGGCATCGCGCAAATGAATGTATTGTTCAGAACGTAATTCTTTCTGGTGTAAACGTATATATGTCAGACGTTCCGTTTCAATTTTTACATACATATCAACGGCAAACTGATGAATCAATCGACGGCATCTCAAAATGTGGTTGTCCTCGCTTAGACGAATCATGAGACGGTATGCATAAAAATTCATCGAGCTGACCTTTTTGTTTGTTTCTTGACCAGTCGCTGGATTAATCATCTTGTTTTGAAAATGGTATCCATCTTCTCCTCTGCAAAATATTAGAGGGTATTGTAATGCATCATATGAACGATGTGTTTCACTGATACGCTGAAGTTTGCTACCATTACGTCGTTGAATTACAATGTCACGAGACTCCATATTCTCCCCAACAATCACAATGGCAACTTCATTTAACATAGGTGCATTGAAGCGTCTCTCATGTTCTCCTGTTGGTTTTTTGTCTGCTCTGGTCACTATTTTATGATCGTCCGACGGCATCATTTCAAGGGCTGTTTTAAACAATTGGACCAATTGATTGTGAGCATGCAACAGTTGTTGCAGTTGCACGATGATCTCTCTCCTAGCTGCATGATTGATGGCACAGCGTTGATTTATTTCAGCTTCAGAATTTCCGAGGAAATAAATTTGAAGAAATTTGTATTCCCCATCAACTGATGGCAACAATGCTCCTGCACGATGGTGAATTTGTCCTTGAATCTTAAAAGTTGGATTGAAACCCCTTTCCTCAATTATATTTGCACCAAATGATGTCATTTGGAATACACAGTTGTAATTTTGAATATTCTGCAAGAAATGCTTCGATAGAGGTTCTTGTCCTGAAAGTAATGAATTCAGTGGTTCAGGTGGCGTTGTGGTAATTTGATCTTTCAGTTCGCACAACATAATCCTGTTGGTTCCAGTCGAAACCTCAAAGCGCTGCAATATTGACAAATTTTGTTCATTGTTCCAAAATCGACCGATTTATCTCCAGCGTAATCGACTATTGGATCATATCTAAACGCCAAACATTCATAGGTAATTGATACGTTTTGTCGCCTCTCACCTGAAGTCGACGGTATGGATTCTTCCGAAGCCGTAGTAGATTTCGCTTGAGAAATTCGCATTCTGTTCGCCTCCAAACGCTGCCTACGCTCTTCATCAGTGTCATTGTTTCGAAGATTATAAACTCTCCTTGCGTTACGCGTACGCCGACCGATATTTTGACGTCTCACTGGTGGCATTTTCTTATCACGATAAACCTCGTCGACGAAAACGAAAACACACGAAACCTCAGAGGAAAGAATAGCACGAAGCACAGAAACAAAGTTTTGTTCGAAGATTATAAACTCTCCTTGCGTTACGCGTATGCCGACCGATATTTTGACGTCTCACTGGTGGCATTTTCTTATCACGATAAACCTCGTCGACGAAAACAAAAACACACGAAACTTCAGAGGAAAGAATAGCACAAAGCACAGAAACAAAGTTTTGCTTTTGTAATACAAAAGTAACGATAATTGAATATGAATGAATGTCAAGCTATCAATTCTGACATTTATTTTGTTAATCATATCTTCTTTTGTTAATCATATTAATGGCGCGATCTTCTAGTTACATTGCGATTTAAAATTACGGAAAAAAGAAAATTGCTTTTTTACGTCGTTCTGTTCAATTTTTTTAAAATTTTCTTTCATACAAACCTTGTCCTGATAATGACAAACAAAACAAAAAAAAATTATCTAATTTGGTGCAGTCGTTCTGAAGTTATGCGCGTACATACATTTCGGCGATTCATTTTTATTTATATAGATGGGACGGTCGGTTCGGCGCGGATAATCGCGATAATCGCGAAATCGAATTTCCATAGCAGAAGCGTCTTTTCGGAAAATCTGATTGCGGTAGAATTGCGTAAACTCGAGGTGAAATTTTACAAACCGATTTACGTGAGTATGTGCATACTCGACATATCCAAGACGTGTCTGTACGAATTTCATCACGAGTACATATATCCTCTGTATCGCGACAAATGCCGGGTAATGTACACCGATACGGATAGTCTCATATATCACATCGAGTGCGCGGACGCGCATATGTGTACGACAACATGAAGCGCGACATTGTTAGATTCGACACGAGCGATTATGCGGTGGACAATGTGTACGATATACCGCTTGTAAATAAAAAGGTACCGGGTCTGATGAAGGACGAAAACAACGGTGCCATAATGACCGAATTCGTCGGGCTCAGAGCGAAGATGTACGCGTTACGAGTAGACGGAAAGAAAGACACGAAGAAAGTTAAAGGCGTCAAGAGTAACGTTGTCGCGAGAACGATAACCTTCGAGGATTACACGCGGTGTTTAAACGAAGAGATCGAAATGACGCGACAGCAGTCGTGTATAAGATCTAAACTGCACCAAGTGTATACCGTCCGCGAGACGAAAATTGCTCTGAGTCCGTACAATGACAAGCGATATATCGTACCTGATTCGACTGACACGATACCATGGGGACATTATAGGATACCTTTGTAAATACATGTATATATTTTATTTATTACTATATATATTTTATTTATTACTGTATATATTTTGTACTTCATATAGTTTTATATAATACACATCTTGCACATTTATATTTCATATATTTTATGTAGCGCATATCTTACATACTTATATTAAGAATATATATAGTATTATTGAAAGAAATATTAATAAACACTGTATATAAATTAAATCATATTGTCCTTATGTATCCAAGAGTTGTGCGAATTGTCAAATCCCAGCCATTTCACCTCGTCACCTCTCCTGCGCAGTACTTTTTCCACGAGATACACGTCGGGATAATTCGCGCGAAGCAATTCGTAGAACACTCCAGCGATAGGTTTTTTGCGATAATTCTCGAGTAAATAACTCACGGGATTAGTATGCTGCACTTTTACAATTTTAAACACCTCGGTTGTCCAATTTGGCGTGTAACTCTTCTCGAAAACAGTCTTGTACTTGCTAACGCGTACCGAGTCACCTTTGAATTTCGCCGGACCCGCGATATTTACACGGTTATATACAGTAGCCAAGAGTCTTTCGGCGATCGCGGAGGTAACGTCGACGGGTCGCATACCGATCGTTCGATGCTTGCGCGCGTTGTAATCCGATACGAGTCCCGGCAACGCCTTGACCCACTTGTAAGATCCGTTCAGCGTAAACAACTTCCACATATCGTCTTTTAGCGTGCGATTGAATCGCTCGACGATCGATGCCTTCAATACCGAATACGTAGAATAATGATTTATGCCGTGTTTTCGCATGAGCCGTTGCACGTCGGCGTTATAAAATTCCTTCCCCATGTCGGTCTGTATGTTTTTCGGACACCTCTCGCTATCTCGAATTATCTCGGCGATAGCGTCAGCTGTCTCGCTTCCGCCTTTACTCTTGAGCGGTACGGCCCACGCGTGCTTGCTCAACGCATCGATGACTGTGAGTATGTAGTTGTAACCTCTGTTGAAACGAGAGTACGGACGCATCTCGACAATGTCGGCTTGCCACAGATCATCGTATCCCCGCACTATTACGTGGGGGAAATTTTTTCTCGCCGGTGCGTGCAGTTCGTTCACCAACTGCCGTTTCTCTAAACTATGTTGTTTCTTCGCTTCCCCGGTTATTCCCGATCGTCGCCCCATCGTTGTTTCGATTCGTCGATCGAATTAGCCGTTCAATAGCTGTTCAATTGCCGTTCACTGCCGTTCGATTGCCGTTGCTGACCCGTTCAATTGCTGTTTATAGCCGTTCACTGCCGTTCAATTGCCGTTTCATTGCCGATCCCTTTGTTGGCGCGATTGACCCTGTTGATAGTCGTTTTTAAGCAGTCCATAGCCTCGTTCACAGTCGTTTCTAACCCGTTCGTAGCCTCGTTGACAATCGTTTTTGACTCGTTCGTAGCCGTTGTGGACTTGTATGCCGCCTCGTATGTAGCCGTTCCTGATGTGTTCATAGCCTTGTTCGCAGCCGTCCTTGAGATGCTCATAGCCTCGTTCGCAGCTGTTCTTGAATCGTTCGTAGCCTCGTCCGAGACTGTTTCCTCTTCGATCACTGCCACTTATTATAGCTCGATAACTGTTGGATAATCGTTCGTAGTCGTCCGATAAACCTTTCTAGATGTTTCATAAGTGTACAATAGCCGCTCCCAAGCCGTTCACTACAGCACATTACAGGTTGATAGCCGTTTCTGAATTAGCGTTAATCGTACGACGAAGCTCATTTATCGCAGCCTGCAAAGCTCGCAGGTCCTTCTCGAACACAGTCAGCTTCTCGTCTGATTCTTTCCGTTGATTCTTCAACGTTTTAACGCATTCTTCCACGTACAGTTTGTTGACCGCATCGGTATTAGCCTCAGGTTGTGCTACACGGCAAATCTTGCGCGACCTCGCGTCATAGTCCGTTGCGACGCGACACAGAGCGTTTTGACGCAAGTAACTTGTCACCAATTTACCCCAATGATCGCTCGTGCTGATTTCTTCGTTTCTCCGTTCGAATAATCCAAATTTGTTGATAGGCATTGTTTCTCGATGCGAGTGACGTCGATCGACTGATTAGTTTCGTCAAGGCGCCGTTTAATTTATAATAATGCCGGCTTCGCGGAGTTCCTCTATGAACGACAAGATCTCGTTGTCGTGAGCGTTGTGGCCAGCTCGACGCGAAGCATCGAGCAATCGCAGGCGATCCACTAGCTCGTTGGGATCGTCCCAGTGCACGTAATCGATCTTATTGTCGGTTAGCGTCATCGCGCGAGGCGTGAATACTCCCGTTCCCGTTTTTTTCTTTTTCGATTCGAACGACATCAACGGTGCGATTATTTGTTTATACTTGTATCCCTTGTTGCTCTTTAATTGACCTTGCGCATTATATCGACGTTTATGCGCACTCGTCGCCATCAATATGCTCTTATATTTTTGCGCATCGTCCTCAGTGTATATGGCGTCATTGGGAATTCTCATGAAGATCAACTCGTATAATCCCGGTGTACCGATGTATCTCACATTGTCTATGATTATAGAGTCATCTTTGTCAATGCCGAATCGTTTGTTACCGATGTATCTCACATTGTCTATGATTATAGAGTCATCTTGGTCAATGCCGAATCGTTTGTTACTGAGACGCATTCCATTCTCGTCGAAATAGACGCCGTACACGTGATCGATCGCGTTTTTTTTTCTTTCGTCACCGCTAAGAAGAGCGCCCATGTATTTTTGCCCCAGTGGTCCCAAGTTCTCTCGTAACACATCTTGACCTTCCGACGTCTGTAACATGTTTCGAACGGATGTTTCGGCGGATTGCCCGTGGTTTCGAAAACATCTTCGATCGCGAGTGATTCGGGTATCGCGGGTTGCGCGATTCTCGGCGCGAACGGTGTAGAGGTGTAGAGGTGTAGAGGTTATCGGCGGTTCATCCGATAAAGTCTCCGATAGATCGGATATACGCGACATCGATAAACATTTCGCCTTCACCGATCGTTTCCTCTTTTTCGGTGTCGCATCCTCCTCCTCCTCCTCCTCTTTCTTGTATCGCTTGATGGATAACGTTTTAATTATAGCGTCAGCGTTACTCTCCGGCTCTTTTTTCACCGCGATTGCGCTAGAGTTGTCGACGATCTTTTGCAGCGGCTCGATAATAGGTCTAAAATGAGTCGTGACCGCGATATCTTCGTCGATCTTACCGGTCTTCAAAGCGCGATGTTTCTTGCGGATCGATTCGCTCATTTTCTCAATCTCCCGCGCAATCTTTTCACGCTCGCGAATATTATCGTTTCCAGCCATGTTGACGGAACGTCGAGCGTTTCACCCTTCTCGACGGAATGTCGACAGCGACTAATCGTTTCGCGGTATCGCGAACACGTTAAATCCTTTTCTGTATCGCCCGTTCATAAGCGCGCTGTCCTTATCAATCACTAGAATCCATACTTTTGCTGCCAACAAGTATAACGGCATAATTCACTGAAATCCTCGTACGACATATCGGTATTCATGTGATCGTTGTACACGTGTTTCAAATTTGTACCGTCCTGTTTAAACAAAATCAGCAGGTTCGCGTTGTCGCATATAAGATGTTTCGGTATTCTCGCGTACGTCTGACAAAGATAGAAGCAGTCGACGTTCGAGTGACGGCCCATTGAGAAGTACTCTCTTATCGTATCTTGCTTGTCGCACGCCACGTCATCGAAGACAAAAATCGAGTTTGGACGTGCCTCGCACGGTGGAATGATGTCACTGTTATTCGAGAACGTAAAGTAGCCGATTTCGTCGATCGGCGTCAATAAATTCTCCAGATATTTCGGCTGTTGCAACGACTTCGAGTACACGTACACGTTCTCGAAACATACACCGTGTGGACTTTCCAGTAGACTTATCAAAGCGTTGGTTTTACCACAATTCGAGGGACCGCAAACGATCGCGCATATAGTAGTCGGTAGCATCGTACCGTGTCTGCGCATCTCCGCGTTGTCCCCCATCGAGCGTAATCTGTCGTAGCAATTCGTCACGCGTATCGTCAAAGGCTGTCGTACGAACCGCATGTTTTCTGTTTCGAACCAATTTTGCGAATGATCGCGAGGAGGAGGCCTATTTATAGAGGTGTCTCGACTCGAAACCGCTCAGTATCAAAAATGTTTCTCCTTCTGTCGGACGAGAGAGACATTCTCGGACTTACCGCCAAACAGCTGCAGTATATTCCGAAGATTCTTTTATTGGAAAATTTCGGTGATTACGTGGAACGATTGTGGGACAAGCTTCCAGAATATATAAAGACTGATCCGGAGGTTCGACAATATCGTTCGTGCATGCGACATTACAACCAGCCCGTGGCAGCGAACGCACATTGACGGTCCGCCTCCGTTGATAAAAGATTGCTACGTATGTCAGCGAGAATCGTAAGAGGCAGCGGTCTCTTAAATCGTGCGATAAAACGTGCTTCCGATCGAATTCCATATTCCCGGCTAGTAGTTAGTACTAGGCGGGTTCTAACTCAGGTCCTCTCAGGAGAGGTGAGGTGCGAGGGATCTCAGCGGGAGCGGGGTATGACGTCACGCGGGATGGGGATCATTGCGGGGTGGGGGATGCACGTGTTGGATGTTTTATGACATGCATAAACAAGAAAAAAGAGTGATATTCTTTGAAGATGATTTTGAGCCTAACCAAAAAAATCATTTTTTATCATCTTATTTTATTTTTATTTTATTTTTATTTTATTTTTTATTTTATTTTTTATTTTATTTTTTATTTTATTTTTTAAGGAAAAATTTTAACAGCGCCAATGTTCGACTGCTTTGTCTCCCCCCGCTCCCCCGTTTACATATCAGCGCCCATCTTCGGCTGCTTTGTACTCTCGAGTACACTCTTTGTACACCCCCTAATATAAAAAATTCTAGGTTTTTTTCTGTTCGACGTATGAACAATACAGAGTAAGCTAACGAACTTTCAGAGATTGTCGAGGACAAAAAATTTTTTTTTGCAAATGGGATATTGTAAAAAAACCTTGTATACCCTTATATATATTTTTAATAACTTCATTTCATAAACTTATATTTTTGAGATATTTCGGTCCAACCTTTTCAAGCAATCTGTGTATCGACGTAATATAATAGCGCATTTCCTACGATAGGTACATTTGCAAAAAAATTTTTGTCCCCGACAATCTCTGAAAGTTTGTTAGTCGAAATAAGGATTGAAGCGCATCAGATCATAGTAACGTGATTTGAAAGCGCATCGACACGTGTAACAAAAGTGTTCTCTCAGAAAGTGTTCTCTCTAAAAGTACAGTGTTCTGTTAGAAAGTGTGATATAGTGTGTGATAATATATAAAATGAAAAACGAAGACGAAGATCACGTGTTGTCGTCCGACAGTGACTGTATTAGTGACTGCAGTGAGGATAGTGACTCTGCACTAGTCAGAGCAAAAATAGTATCTATCGCAGAAATTAATGCATTAAGCGGACAGAAAAAATATTGCACGATATTCTTTTATTACTCGACTGGCGGCGCTTTTAGCAGTATGTGCGTCCTGCATGATTAGGCTGCAAGGTGTAGATGCCCAAATGATGTATGCCGTACGAAAACATGTAATTCAGACATTGGATGCAACGGATGGACGATATTGTTCCAATTGCAGAGATCCATTATATCTAACATTTCCGTGCAATATGTGTCCACAATGCACGTCGTGAAAAAAAAAACATTAAAAGAAGTGTCCACAATGCACGTTGTGAAAAAAAACATTAAAAAAGTGAAGAAGACTAAAGTGGTGCGAGCAACGGAATAAAAAATTAATGAACATGGTCGGTGGTGAATATTTAAGAATCGCGAACTTGGCGAAGAAATTCTCCAATCGCGACTTTCCATCTAAAATCGTATTAAAGATTAGAAAGAGGAATATACGGATTAGAATGAGGAACAAAGTAGAGGACCATTTGCCGAGATTGCTGTTTGCCAGTGGAAATCGAGAAGCGTGTTCCGAAAGATGCGAGGAATCCATCAGCATAACTATCTTGATATATGATCAGTTATGATTCTGATTCGGATTTCTGATATGGATGTGCTGATCAATAATTCGAGGTAGCGCATGTGTAGGCGATTTTATTTCAAAATTATTCAAATAATTAATAAATTTTTTTTATGTGCGAAAGAGTCACCCTCTTCCACCGGGCCGGCCCCACATCGCCTCTCATCGACACCACCACCACCATACCACTCACTACCACCATATTCGTCTTCGCCATTCGCCCTTCTATTATATTATATTATTCAATTATATATTAATATTTATATTTTTGTATTCTTTTTTTATAACTTTTATAATTGTATTATATATATTATTATATAATTGTATATATTGTGTATTTCTAACTTTCTTTTAAATTTTGTTCGTACTTTCTTTTACACTTTATATTTTAAATTCTTTTAAATTTTTCTTACAGTATCTTTTTTTTACACACTATAAATATACATTTATATTTTAAATTCTTTTAAATTTCTTTTGCACACTAGTATATTAATACACATTTATATTTTTATATTTTTAAATTCTTTTGCACACTATGTATATTATAATACACATTGGCTGGTATTTAAAAATTAATTAATTAATATAAAAAAATCTGANCTCCATTGCCAATGTCTAATAATCCCTTGAGAAACTTCTGCTGATATGTCATTTTGCAACGCCACTCGCATGTTCGTTGTTAACTTGAGATTTTTACACTATCATCTCCATAAAATTGATGCCTTTAAGCATGCATTTTATTTCATCAGCAGCTGTTGATCTAAGGAATGACTGGCAGCGTTTGGCGAAATCTCCAGCCAGTAAGAATCATCGCGCCTCCGAAAAGGATCTGATTGCTGCGCAAATCTCTTAATGTTCGATCTAGTGCCTCCATGCTCGTTTGTGCGCCATCGTACACTCATCCCAAATTATTATTTTACAATTTTGTAGCACTTTCGCCATTGCTGATGTTATATTACATGTCGGTTCCTCTATAGTTTGCAAATTCAATGCAGTTTGAGGCGCAGAATGAGCGGTACGTCCGCCTTCTAACAAATGTAAGCAGCGATCCCAGATGATGCTACTGCCAGCGCTATTTGACCTTGTGCTCGAATCGTAATCTAAAATTAATGAAATCTAAAATTAATGAAATTAAAATGTTTACCAGTTCCGCCGGGTGCATCGATGAAAAATATTCCTCCATTGCCGTCATTTACAGCTTTAATTATCGTATCGTAAGCTGTTTTTTGCTGCTGATTTAAAAGTGGCACCTTATTTTGTACGGATTGACTCAAAGCATTTGTATCGTATTGCCGTTCTCGTTCGAATTCACGGTTGAATGCATCGTGCATGGGACGATTAGGCGCAGGCATACCTAATTCGTTCAACATCTTGCCGGACATCATCACGCACAAATCCTCCAAACATATCAAAACCTCATTGTATATCTCTGAGCAAATTTCAAGTTCTGGATTTGCCGTTATTGAACGTACTCGATGCAAAATATCTTCAGCCATATTGTCTTTGTAATTTGTTCCACAAATTATATGAGCTCGATGGAAAGCACGTTGAAATTATGATGGCAAATAATGATCGAATTTGTTGCGAAGTAAACGAAATAACAGCATCAGTAAGTGTGTGATCCCAATGAACATCATCCTCTAGTAAATGTAAACGTTGACAGGCTTCTCTATATGTTGCGCACAATTCACCATCGACAGTTCGTAGAAATTGAAATGAATTTGGTCCACGAACATTAACTAATAACAAACGCAAGTAAAAATATTCGTCATTGCGCGGGTGAACTGTGTAAATGCGCCCAATGCATCGGTTGAATATATATTCACGTATCCCGGGACAGGCTGTCCTTGTTTCCGACGTTGGAATTTTTTAGATGATGCATTCCATGTAAAAATATTTTGGGCATTTCCGAGTAAAGCAATGTTTCTTGCAAATGGATCGCTTGCGCATGTCTCGAAGAAGCTTGTCAGCGTTGTCGCTGATGGTCGTTCTGCTCTTTGGCGCTGGCGTTTTCTGCCGTGAAATAAACTCGTTGTCCATTCTCCAGGTGAACAGCTAAATGAACTACAGTGGGATGACGTTCGTGTATGGGAAATGAAAAGATTCTCCAAACCGCCTCATTGCTACTAACATATCTTCCCATCTGATATGTTGAAATTTCATCGTTATTATTTGGACCTGCAATACCAAATACAGCCATGTCGTTTCCTTTCGTGACGTACTTGCAAACATATTTGATGGACTTGACCGAATTGCAGTACTCAACATTACAATGCGCTTTAAATGTTTTGGAAAGCAGCGGCGAATACGGAACAATCCAACAGTTGTTGACTACGACATCCTTATTTTTGACTTGCAATGTTCTTGTTCTGCCGTTGTCTTCTATAGAACGACGACGATACAGGGGGTAGCCATCATTCCCTGTAATTGTATCAGCCAACAAAGCACGGGGATAACGCTTCGAGCATTTGTTGTCGATCATGCACGGTGATTCACGATTGTGTTCGCCACACGGTCCATGAATCATGTTCTTCTTAACTACTTCATACAATTCTGGATCTACTTCGGGATCAGGAATTTCTGCGCAAATGATCGAATCAATTTCATCCGGTCTTATTTTTTCGACCATCCACAGGAGAATATGCGCATGAGGCAGTCCTCTTTTCTGCCACTCTACAGAATACATCCAACATCGTACGTCTCCGAAGATATGATATTTTACAATGAAGTCCATGAGCGCTTTGAGTTTTTGCTTGAACACTCGAGCGGTTATGTCGTGACGATCGCTGGATGATTGACCGGGTAATAACAGATTAGTGATTTCGATCCATTTTGGGTTGCATGTAAAAGTAATAAATAAATCTGGTCTACCGTATTGGCGCACGTAGGTCATAGCATCTTGCGCGTATTCGTGCATGTGTCTCGGGCTTCCCATATACGTTGCTGGTAAAATAATAAGTTGGCCGACATTATTTCCATTTTTATCTGCGTTCATGGCATCGCGCAAATGAATGTATTGTTCAGAACGTAATTCTTTCTGGTGTAAACGTATATATGTCAGACGTTCCGTTTCAATTTTTTACATACATATCAACGGCAAACTGATGAATCAATCGACGGCATCTCAAAATGTGGTTGTCCTCGCTTAGACGAATCATGAGACGGTATGCATAAAAATTCATCGAGCTGACCTTTTTGTTTGTTTCTTGACCAGTCGCTGGATTAATCATCTTGTTTTGAAAATGGTATCCATCTTCTCCTCTGCAAAATATTAGAGGGTATTGTAATGCATCATATGAACGATGTGTTTCACTGATACGCTGAAGTTTGCTACCATTACGTCGTTGAATTACAATGTCACGAGACTCCATATTCTCCCCAACAATCACAATGGCAACTTCATTTAACATAGGTGCATTGAAGCGTCTCTCATGTTCTCCTGTTGGTTTTTTGTCTGCTCTGGTCACTATTTTATGATCGTCCGACGGCATCATTTCAAGGGCTGTTTTAAACAATTGGACCAATTGATTGTGAGCATGCAACAGTTGTTGCAGTTGCACGATGATCTCTCTCCTAGCTGCATGATTGATGGCACAGCGTTGATTTATTTCAGCTTCAGAATTTCCGAGGAAATAAATTTGAAGAAATTTGTATTCCCCATCAACTGATGGCAACAATGCTCCTGCACGATGGTGAATTTGTCCTTGAATCTTAAAAGTTGGATTGAAACCCCTTTCCTCAATTATATTTGCACCAAATGATGTCATTTGGAATACACAGTTGTAATTTTGAATATTCTGCAAGAAATGCTTCGATAGAGGTTCTTGTCCTGAAAGTAATGAATTCAGTGGTTCAGGTGGCGTTGTGGTAATTTGATCTTTCAGTTCGCACAACATAATCCTGTTGGTTCCAGTCGAAACCTCAAAGCGCTGCAATATTGACAAATTTTGTTCATTGTTCCAAAATCGACCGATTTATCTCCAGCGTAATCGACTATTGGATCATATCTAAACGCCAAACATTCATAGGTAATTGATACGTTTTTGTCGCCTCTCACCTGAAGTCGACGGTATGGATTCTTCCGAAGCCGTAGTAGATTTCGCTTGAGAAATTCGCATTCTGTTCGCCTCCAAACGCTGCCTACGCTCTTCATCAGTGTCATTGTTTCGAAGATTATAAACTCTCCTTGCGTTACGCGTACGCCGACCGATATTTTGACGTCTCACTGGTGGCATTTTCTTATCACGATAAACCTCGTCGACGAAAACGAAAACACACGAAACCTCAGAGGAAAGAATAGCACGAAGCACAGAAACAAAGTTTTGTTCGAAGATTATAAACTCTCCTTGCGTTACGCGTATGCCGACCGATATTTTGACGTCTCACTGGTGGCATTTTCTTATCACGATAAACCTCGTCGACGAAAACAAAAACACACGAAACTTCAGAGGAAAGAATAGCACAAAGCACAGAAACAAAGTTTTGCTTTTGTAATACAAAAGTAACGATAATTGAATATGAATGAATGTCAAGCTATCAATTCTGACATTTATTTTGTTAATCATATCTTCTTTTGTTAATCATATTAATGGCGCGATCTTCTAGTTACATTGCGATTTAAAATTACGGAAAAAAGAAAATTGCTTTTTTACGTCGTTCTGTTCAATTTTTTTAAAATTTTCTTTCATACAAACCTTGTCCTGATAATGACAAACAAAACAAAAAAAAATTATCTAATTTGGTGCAGTCGTTCTGAAGTTATGCGCGTACATACATTTCGGCGATTCATTTTTATTTATATAGATGGGACGGTCGGTTCGGCGCGGATAATCGCGATAATCGCGAAATCGAATTTCCATAGCAGAAGCGTCTTTTCGGAAAATCTGATTGCGGTAGAATTGCGTAAACTCGAGGTGAAATTTTACAAACCGATTTACGTGAGTATGTGCATACTCGACATATCCAAGACGTGTCTGTACGAATTTCATCACGAGTACATATATCCTCTGTATCGCGACAAATGCCGGGTAATGTACACCGATACGGATAGTCTCATATATCACATCGAGTGCGCGGACGCGCATATGTGTACGACAACATGAAGCGCGACATTGTTAGATTCGACACGAGCGATTATGCGGTGGACAATGTGTACGATATACCGCTTGTAAATAAAAAGGTACCGGGTCTGATGAAGGACGAAAACAACGGTGCCATAATGACCGAATTCGTCGGGCTCAGAGCGAAGATGTACGCGTTACGAGTAGACGGAAAGAAAGACACGAAGAAAGTTAAAGGCGTCAAGAGTAACGTTGTCGCGAGAACGATAACCTTCGAGGATTACACGCGGTGTTTAAACGAAGAGATCGAAATGACGCGACAGCAGTCGTGTATAAGATCTAAACTGCACCAAGTGTATACCGTCCGCGAGACGAAAATTGCTCTGAGTCCGTACAATGACAAGCGATATATCGTACCTGATTCGACTGACACGATACCATGGGGACATTATAGGATACCTTTGTAAATACATGTATATATTTTATTTATTACTATATATATTTTATTTATTACTGTATATATTTTGTACTTCATATAGTTTTATATAATACACATCTTGCACATTTATATTTCATATATTTTATGTAGCGCATATCTTACATACTTATATTAAGAATATATATAGTATTATTGAAAGAAATATTAATAAACACTGTATATAAATTAAATCATATTGTCCTTATGTATCCAAGAGTTGTGCGAATTGTCAAATCCCAGCCATTTCACGTAAACCTCGTCACCTCTCCTGCGCAGTACTTTTTCCACGAGATACACGTCGGGATAATTCGCGCGAAGCAATTCGTAGAACACTCCAGCGATAGGTTTTTTGCGATAATTCTCGAGTAAATAACTCACGGGATTAGTATGCTGCACTTTTACAATTTTAAACACCTCGGTTGTCCAATTTGGCGTGTAACTCTTCTCGAAAACAGTCTTGTACTTGCTAACGCGTACCGAGTCACCTTTGAATTTCGCCGGACCCGCGATATTTACACGGTTATATACAGTAGCCAAGAGTCTTTCGGCGATCGCGGAGGTAACGTCGACGGGTCGCATACCGATCGTTCGATGCTTGCGCGCGTTGTAATCCGATACGAGTCCCGGCAACGCCTTGACCCACTTGTAAGATCCGTTCAGCGTAAACATCTTCCACATATCGTCTTTTAGCGTGCGATTGAATCGCTCGACGATCGATGCCTTCAATACCGAATACGTAGAATAATGATTTATGCCGTGTTTTCGCATGAGCCGTTGCACGTCGGCGTTATAAAATTCCTTCCCCATGTCGGTCTGTATGTTTTTCGGACACCTCTCGCTATCTCGAATTATCTCGGCGATAGCGTCAGCTGTCTCGCTTCCGCCTTTACTCTTGAGCGGTACGGCCCACGCGTGCTTGCTCAACGCATCGATGACTGTGAGTATGTAGTTGTAACCTCTGTTGAAACGAGAGTACGGACGCATCTCGACAATGTCGGCTTGCCACAGATCATCGTATCCCCGCACTATTACGTGGGGGAAATTTTTTCTCGCCGGTGCGTGCAGTTCGTTCACCAACTGCCGTTTCTCTAAACTATGTTGTTTCTTCGCTTCCCCGGTTATTCCCGATCGTCGCCCCATCGTTGTTTCGATTCGTCGATCGAATTAGCCGTTCAATAGCTGTTCAATTGCCGTTCACTGCCGTTCGATTGCCGTTGCTGACCCGTTCAATTGCTGTTTATAGCCGTTCACTGCCGTTCAATTGCCGTTTCATTGCCGATCCCTTTGTTGGCGCGATTGACCCTGTTGATAGTCGTTTTTAAGCAGTCCATAGCCTCGTTCACAGTCGTTTCTAACCCGTTCGTAGCCTCGTTGACAATCGTTTTTGACTCGTTCGTAGCCGTTGTGGACTTGTATGCCGCCTCGTATGTAGCCGTTCCTGATGTGTTCATAGCCTTGTTCGCAGCCGTCCTTGAGATGCTCATAGCCTCGTTCGCAGCTGTTCTTGAATCGTTCGTAGCCTCGTCCGAGACTGTTTCCTCTTCGATCACTGCCACTTATTATAGCTCGATAACTGTTGGATAATCGTTCGTAGTCGTCCGATAAACCTTTCTAGATGTTTCATAAGTGTACAATAGCCGCTCCCAAGCCGTTCACTACAGCACATTACAGGTTGATAGCCGTTTCTGAATTAGCGTTAATCGTACGACGAAGCTCATTTATCGCAGCCTGCAAAGCTCGCAGGTCCTTCTCGAACACAGTCAGCTTCTCGTCTGATTCTTTCCGTTGATTCTTCAACGTTTTAACGCATTCTTCCACGTACAGTTTGTTGACCGCATCGGTATTAGCCTCAGGTTGTGCTACACGGCAAATCTTGCGCGACCTCGCGTCATAGTCCGTTGCGACGCGACACAGAGCGTTTTGACGCAAGTAACTTGTCACCAATTTACCCCAATGATCGCTCGTGCTGATTTCTTCGTTTCTCCGTTCGAATAATCCAAATTTGTTGATAGGCATTGTTTCTCGATGCGAGTGACGTCGATCGACTGATTAGTTTCGTCAAGGCGCCGTTTAATTTATAATAATGCCGGCTTCGCGGAGTTCCTCTATGAACGACAAGATCTCGTTGTCGTGAGCGTTGTGGCCAGCTCGACGCGAAGCATCGAGCAATCGCAGGCGATCCACTAGCTCGTTGGGATCGTCCCAGTGCACGTAATCGATCTTATTGTCGGTTAGCGTCATCGCGCGAGGCGTGAATACTCCCGTTCCCGTTTTTTTCTTTTTCGATTCGAACGACATCAACGGTGCGATTATTTGTTTATACTTGTATCCCTTGTTGCTCTTTAATTGACCTTGCGCATTATATCGACGTTTATGCGCACTCGTCGCCATCAATATGCTCTTATATTTTTGCGCATCGTCCTCAGTGTATATGGCGTCATTGGGAATTCTCATGAAGATCAACTCGTATAATCCCGGTGTACCGATGTATCTCACATTGTCTATGATTATAGAGTCATCTTTGTCAATGCCGAATCGTTTGTTACCGATGTATCTCACATTGTCTATGATTATAGAGTCATCTTGGTCAATGCCGAATCGTTTGTTACTGAGACGCATTCCATTCTCGTCGAAATAGACGCCGTACACGTGATCGATCGCGTTTTTTTTTCTTTCGTCACCGCTAAGAAGAGCGCCCATGTATTTTTGCCCCAGTGGTCCCAAGTTCTCTCGTAACACATCTTGACCTTCCGACGTCTGTAACATGTTTCGAACGGATGTTTCGGGCGGATTGCCCGTGGTTTCGAAAACATCTTCGATCGCGAGTGATTCGGGTATCGCGGGTTGCGCGATTCTCGGCGCGAACGGTGTAGAGGTGTAGAGGTGTAGAGGTTATCGGCGGTTCATCCGATAAAGTCTCCGATAGATCGGATATACGCGACATCGATAAACATTTCGCCTTCACCGATCGTTTCCTCTTTTTCGGTGTCGCATCCTCCTCCTCCTCCTCCTCTTTCTTGTATCGCTTGATGGATAACGTTTTAATTATAGCGTCAGCGTTACTCTCCGGCTCTTTTTTCACCGCGATTGCGCTAGAGTTGTCGACGATCTTTTGCAGCGGCTCGATAATAGGTCTAAAATGAGTCGTGACCGCGATATCTTCGTCGATCTTACCGGTCTTCAAAGCGCGATGTTTCTTGCGGATCGATTCGCTCATTTTCTCAATCTCCCGCGCAATCTTTTCACGCTCGCGAATATTATCGTTTCCAGCCATGTTGACGGAACGTCGAGCGTTTCACCCTTCTCGACGGAATGTCGACAGCGACTAATCGTTTCGCGGTATCGCGAACACGTTAAATCCTTTTCTGTATCGCCCGTTCATAAGCGCGCTGTCCTTATCAATCACTAGGAATCCATACTTTTGCTGCCAACAAGTATAACGGCATAATTCACTGAAATCCTCGTACGACATATCGGTATTCATGTGATCGTTGTACACGTGTTTCAAATTTGTACCGTCCTGTTTAAACAAAATCAGCAGGTTCGCGTTGTCGCATATAAGATGTTTCGGTATTCTCGCGTACGTCTGACAAAGATAGAAGCAGTCGACGTTCGAGTGACGGC